GCGCGGCACCAGAGGCGGCAGCAGCGGGGGCAGCAGCAGAGGCAGCAGCAGTAACAGCAGCAGCAGCAGCAGCAGCAGCAGCAGCAGGGGCAGCAGCAGCAGCAGCAGCTGAGGGGCTGATGAGGGGCAGAAACGTTTACACTGATATCCCTCAATTCTAAGTCTGATGTTTTCCTCGTGGATTCTTTAATGCTGAAGGAAATTGTATTTTTGCTTTTTGTGTGTTGACAAACCTGAGATCACTTGAAGAAAAACAGCTAAACTAGAGACTGAAGAAATTCAACCACACGTACATTAGCCAGCGATAGCTGAGCGTTAGCCGTTTCCCAAAAGGACTGGTTAAAAAGATTAAACGTCAGGGCTGGAATCATTTGATGTTTGACATCTGACATAAAGAATACCTACAACAACACCACAGAATACTACAAATAACAAGAAGTTAACTATTAGCCTCTATTGCTGAAAATACAAAAAAGCTAAAAGGCTAAAAGCTTTAGCTTTGCAACTAGTTTGAAATACATTACAAAATGTGTAAAAACAAGTGAAACAGTTTAGCTCATACATTCTAGTTTGAATTCCCCCTAAAGAGAGTTCAGTTTTTGGTTCCATACTGTAGCAGTTAGCACGACTGACATACAAGCAGGGAGCAGAGAGTCTTGGGTTCAATTCCCAGGGGGACCACATGCTTGGCGCCTCCAAGGGGGCAGTCTAACATAAGAATCCCCAAGTGTTGGATCAATTAAGTTCAAACTATTATTATTAGATGTAAATGTGAGTTTCTTAACAGAGTTGACCAACCAACGGTCTGCTTCTGTGTGATGTCATCCTGACTCAACATGTCCTGGACATGTTCATCCCTATTATAGCGATCAGCAGAAATAAAGTCAGAGCCTTGTGATGGTTTTAGTTCTTCTGACTGTATTTAATGTCTCTGGGCCATGATCCAAATAAAAGCTCAGTGATGGTGGCGCCTGTGGGCTGCTCTGTCCAGTCCAAGTTATTCTGGTCTAAATCAGTCAGTGTTTCACTTCAGCCCACATGATTGTGTTACCACAGAAGGGAGGCATTGTCAAGGTTAAAATGATTGATTTTCTCTATGGGGTTTGGTATCATACAAACCACAATTAGCAGCAAACACCCAATAAAGTATATTACAGCTCAAGTCTTTACATCACATTAAAGATTTACCTGACTATATATTAGCAACAGGAAACTGTTTTTAAATCAGTTACCCTCCTACACCAAAGTCCATGGAGAAAATCAGTGATTTTAGCTCACAGACCAAAGTCCACAGAGAAAATCAGTGATTTTAGCTCACAGACCAAAGTCCATAGAGAAAATCAGTGATTTTAGCTCACAGACCAAAGTCCATAGAGAAAATCAGTGATTTTAGCTCACAGACCAAAGTCCATAGAGAAAATCAGTGATTTTAGCTCACAGACCAAAGTCCATAGAGAAAATCAGTGATTTTAGCTCACAGACCAAAGTCCATAGAGAAAATCAGTGATTTTAGCTCACAGACCAAAGTCCATAGAGAAAATCAGTGATTTTAGCTCACAGACCAAAGTCCATAGAGAAAATCAGTGATTTTAGCTCACAGACCAAAGTCCATAGAGAAAATCAGTGATTTTAGCTCACAGACCAAAGTCCATGGAGAAAATCAGTGATTTTAGCTCACAGACCAAAGTCCATGGAGAAAATCAGTGATTTTAGCTCACAGACCAAAGTCCATGGAGAAAATCAGTGATTTTAGCTCACAGACCAAAGTCCACAGAGAAAATCAGTGATTTTAGCTCACAGAGACAAGATAAACCGTGTCTTACAGTAAAGTAATGATGTAGATTTTATCATCAGTGTCTTAGTAGCTCTCAGCGGAGAACCCTGCACTGCCTTTAACCATAAACCAGCTGCTTTTCACTCTTGTTGTCAATTTTCTTGTTGTCAGTTCAGATTTATGTTTTCAGCAGAGACCAAATGCAGACATGCTTTCTGTTTAATGTGTGTCCAGTCTGGGACTAGGCTGAAGACAGATTGATGAGTTGACCTGAGGCTCACATGAACTTGAACCTGAACCTGAGCTCTAATCTCTGAGCTTTGTTCTAACTTTCATCAAAGCCAGAGTCTTCGCCCCAATAACTGTAAACGTGGTCGTGCTCTGACTTACCCTGGGAGGCAGAGTCTCGTAGGGTCAGGTGGGCTGAAGGCCTCTGGACCACTGAGCCCATGAACTTTGACCCAGAGGTGTTAAACTGCCGAGGCATGGTTCTGGCCTCTGAGAGAACGAAGGAGAGAGGAAGTGAGGGACCAGCAGACAGGAAATGTGTGCGTTAATGTCTTACACATGCGGTGTTTGTGTTATCTTACCAATGAAGGTCTGTTTGGAAATAATGTTTTCTGTCACCTGTAGACAGAACAAAAACAAAAATCAGTCAAAGCAGTATTTTTTTTAAATCTCTGACTCACTGAAGTTGGAGAAGATATTAAATTTAATATTTAATATGTTTTAATATACTACATTCAAATCTGTTCATTGTTGTCTCTGAGTCATTTAGTATGAATCTAAAGGATGTTTCTCAGACTCTCAGTCCTGCAGCTGTCTGCTCTTTATTACCCACCATGGTGAATTGCATTGTGGGATAACTGTGTCTGCATCGCAGTACTGTTCACCACTACGTCTCACATTTACTTACCAACTAAATCACACAGACTTCATCTGATGGAGAAGCAGAGTGAAGATGAAAGCTTACGTCTCCTTCCTCGTCATCACAGCCCTAACTCTTCAACCGTCAGATGTTTCTCCTCCTGCCTTTCCTTCACTCCCTGCTCCATCCCTCGCTCCCAGCAGGAGGCCTCTGCTCAAATCTGACCCAGATGTAAAAAAACACGCCTCTACTGTACTGTACACACACACGCAGACACACTTTGCCTTGTTTTTGTCTGGAACACTCACTAAATCAACTCTGCTTCTCTTCAGGAACATCTTTGCTCTTTTTGTTTAATCTCTACATTAGCTCAAAGTGACAGCTACATTTTTTTCCCCACATGTGTTTGTCTGAGTTACCGACACATAACTCACAACACTGACAAACCAGTCTGAGACTGAGAGATTCACTCTCGCTGGCGGTGTGACCCAAAACAATTAAACACAACACAAACAATGAATTCTGCTAGAAATCAGGTTCTCTACCAGACCAAAGTCCATGGAGAAAGTCAGTGATTTTAGCTCACAGACCAAAGTCCATGGAGAAAGTCAGTGATTTTAGCCCACAGACCAAAGTCCATAGAGAAAATCAGAGATTTTAGCTCACAGACCAAAGTCCACAGAGAGAATCAGTGATTTTAGCTCACAGACCAAAGTCCATAGAGAAAATTAGTGATTTTAGCTCACAGACCAAAGTCCATAGAGAAAATCAGAGATTTTAGCTCACAGACCAAAGTCCATAGAGAAAATTAGTGATTTTAGCTCACAGACCAAAGTCCATAGAGAAAATTAGTGATTTTAGCTCACAGACCAAAGTCCACAGAGAAAATCAGAGATTTTAGCTCACAGACCAAAGTCCACAGAGAAAATTAGTGATTTTAGCTCACAGACCAAAGTCCATGGAGAAAGTCAGTGATTTTAGCCCACAGACCAAAGTCCATAGAGAAAATCAGTGATTTTAGCTCACAGACCAAAGTCCATGGAGAAAGTCAGTGATTTTAGCCCACAGACCAAAGTCCATGGAGAAAGTCAGTGATTTTAGCTCACAGACCAAAGTCCACAGAGAAAATTAGTGATTTTAGCTCACAGACCAAAGTCCACAGAGAAAATCAGAGATTTTAGCTCACAGACCAAAGTCCATAGAGAAAATTAGTGATTTTAGCTCACAGACCAAAGTCCATAGAGAAAATTAGTGATTTTAGCTCACAGACCAAAGTCCATAGAGAAAATTAGTGATTTTAGCTCACAGACCAAAGTCCATAAAGAAAATCAGTGATTTTAGCTCACAGAACAACGTCCATAGAGAAAATCAGAGATTTTAGCTCACAGACCAAAGTCCACAGAGAAAATCAGAGATTTTAGCTCACAGACCAAAGTCCATAGAGAAAATCAGAGATTTTAGCTCACAGACCAAAGTCCACAGAGAAAATCAGAGATTTTAGCTCACAGACCAAAGTCCACAGAGAAAATCAGAGATTTTAGCTCACAGACCAAAGTCCACAGAGAAAATCAGAGATTTTAGCTCACAGACCAAAGTCCATGGAGAAAGTCAGTGATTTTAGCCCACAGACCAAAGTCCATGGAGAAAGTCAGTGATTTTAGCCCACAGACCAAAGTCCATGGAGAAAGTCAGTGATTTTAGCCCACAGACCAAAGTCCATGGAGAAAGTCAGTGATTTTAGCTCACAGACCAAAGTCCACAGAGAAAATCAGAGATTTTAGCTCACAGACCAAAGTCCACAGAGAGAATCAGTGATTTTAGCTCACAGAGACATCTTATTTTGTATTTAAATTTTTCTGTTCAGACTTTTAGACAAACAACTGACCACTGAAGGCAGCAGTGGAGCAGCATCTCCTGTGTGTCTCTGAACTAAAACCACTGATTTTCTCCAAGGACTCTGATGGAGCAGATTGAGGGGTTTCCTTCATTATTTTCTCTCTACCTAAACTATGACTGCAATTCTCAGGGCCTTAATCATCCTTTCCTGGATGACGTTGTGAGCCTGAAGTGCCCTAAAGCAAGGCAGCCTGTTGGCATAAATAATCGTGATTAATTTTTCTTGGTTTAGAAATGTCACAAATCCTGAAGATGATGAATTTCTCCTGTGTTTTAAAAGGTCGTGCGGCCGTGACGCTGCTGTTGTTCTTGGCAGCCTGCCTGGTTCCCCTGCACCCAACACTCAGCTACAGCTACAAATTGGATCTGATGGCTGTAGGGTTTGTTGTGTGTGAACACAGTGGGGACCCAAACTGCAGTGTATGTATATGTGTTTATAATTTTAGATACATATTTGTAAACCCTGGCTTCAGCTCTGCTGCTCTCACACATGGCCTTGGCGTGCCTTTCCTCGGCCCCACGTTCCTCGAGTCCTGTGAGCAGAAAATTACCCCACGTACAACCACACACACACTGGGGTGAGGAGAAAATTACCACCAGACTCTGTGATCTGCATGTGAGCCAGAGAGTCATGGAAGCAGAGCCCAGCCAGAGCCCAGGAATTTCTACAGATTTCATCTGTTTATTTCAACACATCTCCATCGCAACGGCCGCCGTTTAGACTTTTTCGCTGCAGACTTACTCGCCCAGACCAAAGGTTTCCTTCTAACGACTAAATCGAAACAGACCCAGAGGAAACGAGACTAAAGATAATCCAAGACCTGCTCCAAGTCAAGACGGCAACATGGAGAAGGAGAAGGCGGTGAGTGAGGGCTGAAGATTGTGGGAAAGGAGCATCAAGGAGGAATGAGTGGAGTTTGTGTGTTCGTGTCTGCACATGAAGCTTCAGCCTCCGCTGCAGAAGAACAGGAGCTGCTGAAACTCAATCCTTTAATCCGCTGCTCGACCCCGACACGCCTGGACAGGCTCCGAATGAATGAGAGAGAGAGGAAGAGAGAGAGACCAAGTAGTAATAGGGTTCTTCTTAGTTTAGGATTCTAAAGATTTGTTATTGGCTGGGTTTTAGTTCCAGAAAGTCCTGAGATCCTGGTTCCTGAGAGTCCTCAACGTAAGAGGAAGACCAAGTAGAACCAAGCCAAAAGTCCACGCTGAATCCACTCAGTCAAGCCAGTCAAACAGTAGACGGAGATCACACGACCAAATACGTTGTTTTTTTTTTAATCTGTGTCCTGTCTGTGTTTTTCCAGAGTCACAGTGACAGCTGTTATATATGTGGCTGTGACTACAGTACAGCTGGACACACACACACACACACACACACACACGACCATGGATAAGGCAGAACTTGAGTGACCTTCAGCTCTGGTCACCAGTCCCTCCAGACTCACTGAAAACACCATCAGTCTTCCTGACGATGGCGACACCAGTAGGTTTTATGATCAAACTCCAAGTGAGCGTCGTCTCATTAAAGACGCGACGCGATTACAGAAGCCTCACTCACTTCCTGTTTTCGGAAGCTGCAGCAGAAAGTTGTTAATCTTTACTTTTATATTTGTATCTGTAGAAAAAAAATTCTTATAGAGTTTAAATACCTATAAAAATACTACTTGGTATTTGTTTAATATAAATCTAGAACAAGACAGCTGTGCAGACAGAGAGTGCAAATATTTTAAGACCAATTGAAGCATTTTGGTAAAAAAAATGCATCAAAAAGTAAAATTACTTTTAAACATTTTTAAGGGAAAACCTTAGTGACATTTAGTGCACCACATGTGCAGGGTGTGCGTGCTGGAGTTAGGCAATGGGCCGCGAGTTGGTGCAGGGTAATAAATTAGCTAAAGATTAGCTGAGACAGAGCTAAAACTTGTCTAAACATATCTTCAAAACTGTGAGAAATGAACCTGGAAAAACGATATCTTCAAAACTGTGAGAAATGAACCAAAACTAATTCTGAATACTGAAAAATTATAACATTATAGAAGTACATAAGAGTGAACGGTACATCTGATTTAAAAAATCATTTAAATCAGAGACCACAGTAAACTGATCTGCTCACAGGCCAGCACCTGGACAGGGCTGCAGTAAACATCTAACACTGACCTGAGATCAGACTCAGTAAAGTCACTCAGACTGACTGTTTACATCTGCTCACATTGTTTTATCTCAGATCTTCTATCCTGTCTGTCAGCATGTGAAATCCACTGAGTTCAAAAACAGGAATGTTATGATCAGAGGGAACACAGAAGACCTGTTTGTGAGGAACCTCAGAATTCCAGGAAAAACATCTCATCACTGGAATCTGCTCTGCTAGATTGAAGTGGTTCATATACACACCAGTTCTTGTTTTTGACTTTGTTGGGACTCAGTTCTTAGCCAAGGTCTTTACAAATCCTCACCCTGGGTCTTGAACAGTTCTTGCTTCAAACTATTGCTCTGTTTCTCAGATCCTAAACTGAGTCCCAGTTCTTGGAAACCCCAGGTCTAGATTCAGAGCTGTAAATGTCCTTTAGTGCAGACTGGGACTTGGACTCCACAACAGTCTGGGTCTCAGTTCCTTAAAGCCAGAACCAGATTCAGGTTCAGAAGCCAAACCTTCTGTCTGCTCTGTTTGTCACCACAGGGCTTTGTTTGTAATGATACTAGGAGGGACTGTGGTCCAGTTGCATCTGGTTCCAGAGTCCAGGAACCAGAGTCCCGTTCCAGGAAGTGTCTGTCCGTCTGTCGGTCGTTCTGTTTCTCAGTAAAAGTCCATTTTTTACGACGCTGTCTTGTTTAAAGAGCAGAGATAAAAGCCGCAGATCTTTTCCCTGATAAAACCACTGACACTAATGTTCCCCGGTGATTTATTCTGCACTCTATGACAGTGTGCGTGTCCACCACGCCGCACTGAATTCCTTCCCCCTGAAAACAGCTGCCTGTGAGTCCACACCCTGGGTCACAACAGCTGTTGTGGATCAGAACCCTGGTTCTGAGTGTGACATCATCAACCGTTTACTGAAACACAGTTTAATTCACTTTGATTTGAAGTAAAGCTCATTCTCACTGAGCGGTCAGGGACGGATGAGGAGACTGTCACATGTAACACTGTAACATTTTTGACCTTTTATGTTGAACATAAACACATTTCCTTACATATATATATATATATATATATATTTCTTGCTTTTATTATTTTTTAAATAATAAATAATAAACATACCTTAAAGATACATTTAATGCACTGGAAGGTATTAACCGCCCTAACCGGGATTCGAACTCACCCTGGTGAACTCAGGTGAACCCTGGGGTTCCACACCAATGACAGAGACATTGCCTCTGGGCCAAAGCGCCACTATTATTAATATTCAATATTTATTATTAAGAATTTTGATTTGCACTGAAAACAAAACTGGTCCTAATGAAAGGTTCTGCAGCCTTCGCTCTGATCCTGGATCTGTTTTTTTCTGTAAACGCCTGGAAACAACGCACCTGCCACCTGGCCATGAGGTCAAGGCTGGTCCAGGATCAGTGTCTATAAAAGTATTTATTGATGACCACAGTGAAGAGGGGCTGAAAGGTGGAGGTCAGCCTCAGCAGGAGAACGTGTTCTACTGCTCTCCCTCCTGAGGTGAGGACAGCGGGGGAGGAGGAACAGGTCCTCTGTGCTCCTCAGCTGACACTTGAAGACCCCTGACTCTCTCTCTCTCTCTTATTTTGGCTCCTGTTCTGTGTGATCCTGAGGGCAGGACCATAAAGTGTCAGTAGATGTTCTATGTCTGTGGTTTACGACTGCCGTGGCTTATAAATGTGGCTCAGTGGAAAGATTTATTCCTTCAGGTGTGTTAAGATGTCAGTTGGAATCAAAACACAGAAAATTGGAGTTTCAGTTTCACTGTAAGTCTGGTGGCAAGAGGGGCCACACAAGGAGGTGAAACAGGAAAGGAAGGAGAAGAGGAGTGTGGAGGCGTGGCAGCGCTCAGCTGCAGCTGGGAGAGCATCTGCAGCACCTGACGCAGGTGAGGACACTTCAGGTAATCAGACCATGGAGAGAGAGAGAGAGAGAGAGAGAGAGGGAGGACAAAGAACACTTGAGCCAACATGGCGGTCAGTGCCTGTGCCAATGGGAACCCACGTGAGACGAGAAGGTATGTGCGATAAACAGAACCAGTCCGACTGTTGTTGTAAACATTGTTTCAGAGCGTTGGTGACGGTGAGTCACAGACCATGAAGATGCTGATCGTGGTCAGTCTAATCAACACTGAGGTTCTGGGGGGGTCTCAGCGTCATGAGTCACAAAGACACAGAGATGTTTGTTCTGATGGCTGACGGTGACTCACGCACTTTTATGAAGAGCAGGAACTGAATCAACGCTTTCTTTAATGAAGCGGTCTAAAAAGCTCCAGATGGTTCTAATCCCACTGTTTCACAATGACCTTCACGCACTGGGCTGGAGTGGCTTCTGCTGTGCCATGGTTTCAGCTTTCAGGAATTTGATGTGGACATGATGTCCAAACACATGTTTCTATGTCGGAGTGGAACCACGGAGAACACGCAACCAGGAACGCACTAGTGCTAGCTGTGACCATGATGGCCGTCCTAACAGTTAGAACAACAGTAGCATACTGACGTTAACTCGTTAACAGTCTCATTAGCTTCAACGTGACAAAGACTCAGAGTAGAAACGGGTTCCTCTCCCGTACTGAACCTCATACAGAACATCAGTGATTTATTTCACAGTTGTTGATCCATTGCTGTCTCCACCAGTTTGAAATCCTTTTTCTCAGATTTAATCAGTGCCACAAACTGACCACAGGAGGCAGCAGTGGACCAGTGTCTCCTGAGAGAGAGCTAAAATGACTGGTCTTCTCTGTGGACTGTGATGTATGGGATTACCACTGAGATAAGACGCGACCAGACTGTTCAGATACTGAGGTGTGGACGTTTGTGTTTTCGGTGACAGGTCGGTGTGTTGGTACCTTGGAGATGTATGCTTTAATGCCTTCAGCCAGTTTGATGCAGGGCTCTCCAAAGAGCTGAGCCAGCTGCTCTGGGATGTCCTGGTCTTTGTCCAGAGCGTTGAGTAAACTCAGACACTTGAGTTCTTCAGTCACGCCCTGACTACGGACCTACAACAACAGCAACAACACAGGGAGAACAGAGATGATTAGAAGAGCAGCGACAGAAGAAGAACAGGAAGAAGTACTGACAGTGGCACCATCTGAGCCTGGTACAGCAGGAACTGGTACTGTTATCACTGTTTTCTTTGGAAGGTTTGACACACAGCAAAAAAACAAAACAAAAAAAAAAACAGGCTGATGTTGTGAACAAGAAAAATGTAGTGGTTTGTAAACAGTTCCTGGTTGGGTAAGACCTGGATCCAGTCTACTGATTTCAGACTGATTTAAAATGAAGTAGAGGTCACTATCTACACCAAGTGAAGGAGGGCGGTGTTCTCCTCCACCCACAGGGAGATTTGACTGAAGACCAGAAAGAAAACAAAAAGTTTAATTAAAAAAGAATTAGGAGAAAGAGGAAGAGGAACAAACTCCACAGAGCAGGAGTGGAGGAGTGGAATTCTAATCATAATGAGTCTGCTCCAGACTCATTATCAGAGCTCTTGGAGCGTGGCACACTTTAAGAAAGAAAACACACAAAGGTTTCCCCTTTCTTTCAGACCGGTGGGAAGCTGGACACCCTCCATTCATACAAAGAAAGAATACATTTAGTTTTAGACACTTCAAGACATGGAGTCAGTCAGTAGAACCGATCATGACCAGTGGACAAACACACAATGCTCTGAGCTGAGAACAGGAAAAATAACAACGTTCCTGCTGGTTGTCCTTCAAAATAAATACAGTCCTTCATCTTCAGCTCACAACCTTGGACTAAAAATGGAACTTTTTGACATTTATGGACTTTTATGGACTTTTATGGACTTTTATGGGCTGGGGTCACAACACAACATCTGCCAGAACTGTATGAACTTGGACCAGTGTTCTAGAAACCTCCCCGTCAGTCCAACATCATCTGATGAAGACAGGGACAACGGTGGACAGATTCACACCTTGGTTTTGGACATTTGTTTTTAAAAGTGTGTGTGTGTGTGTGTGTGTGTGTGCGTCACAGATGTCTTTAGCATGTGCCTGCTGCTGGAGCTGCAGACAAAGCAGCACAAACTGAACTGATGTCAGCAGAAAATACCTCTCTCGGGGGAACCATTTTAAAGTTACTCTCTCAAATACTTGGAATGCGTCCTGTGAGAGCATTTGTATAAATGAACCGGGGCCAAAGGTCAGAGTTCATCAACCTAATCCAGATTATATTTTATTTCTTTTTGGCTGTTTCACGGTCATTAATCTAGTCTCTGTCACAACTGTTTTCCATTACAACGTAGAACTTAGAACTTTGGAACCCGAGGCTGAACCTGGTTCTGTTTCTTCTGCTTATTCATTTGTTCAGGCTTGGAACCGATTGGTGTACTGAGAGCAGGAACCGAGCCAGAGCCAGAGTTTGAGGAGGATTTTGGCAGGAGGGCGTTCTTCTGTCAGAGCAGAGCTCAGTCTTCTCCTCAGTCTTCCTGCGTTTGAAAACTCTGTGGAAGAGTTCCAGCTCCTGCTCCCAGGGCATGTGTCCCACCTCCGTCCCTCCATCAGTCTCTGCAGGACGCCATGTCCACAACGGTCCAGAAGAGCTGCTCACATTTTCCTCAGAGTTGTCCAGGCGTTTTTAAGGCATATTAAAACCAGCAGAAGACCGGGGTCAGGACCTAACAGAGCTGGTGTGTGTGTCTTCAGGTCCTCATGTCCCCATGTCTTCACGTCTTCATGTCCCCATTTGAAATCGCCGATGGGAGTTTAATGAGAGAAGACAGCGGTGATGAGAAAATGAAGTTAGAATGAAGCAGAAAAGTTCAGGAGGGAAAAAAAACTTGGACGGAGACGGAGCAGATTTGGCTGGCTAAGACACACTGAGGTCCAAAAGTGAAGACCGGCGCTGGGACATGTTGACTGAAAACAGAAGAAACTGAGGGGGAAGGAAAATATCTGCGCAGTTTTAAATAAACCCGATATGAAACACTTTTCTCTGAGTCTGTGTGACGCGTTGGCAGTAGAAGTCAAAAAACACACTCGCAACAACAACAACTCGTTTTTCCTGCTCAAAGCAACACAGCGGTGTAAAACACTGAAAAGATCATAGAAAAACCCCAGCAGTAACTCATGTCAAAGGATAAATGAGGCTAAAGAAAACGGAAGAGAAAAGAGATTTAAACACAGCTCAATGTTGGCACGGCTGGATCTAAGAGGTGGACGGAGGGCTCCGTGTTCCCTTCATGTCGTCTTCACCGATGCAGAACCACTGTTGATCATCAGACTGACAGCAGAGGAAACTGATGAGGGAGTTTGCGTTTTTAACCTCACATGAGAAATCACGTCTTCAGCTCAGCTCAAGAAACAACAGCCTCCAGTGAAGATCAGCAGCTTCACCTCTCTGCTCCGTCACATCAGTGGGAACCAGGAGGAGTTTGTTTGACCTGAGGCCGCAGGAGGAAAGTGAGTTCACTCCTGAAACCCTGAGGCCACTGGAGCATGTGTGAGAGGAAAACTCCCCCCCCACACACACACACACAGAGACAGACTTTCAGAGACACACACAACTCTATGATTTACACTCATATTGACTGTTAGGGACACACACACACACACACACACACACACAGGTCTGCAGGTCACACAGTCCGGAGGGAGATATTTACCCTTGGTAATATTACATTTTGATCAGTTCCTGGAAGTGTAGAGTGTTCTGGTACGGTGTGGTTCTGCTCCGACTGTTTTCTTCAACAATGTTTTTCACATGTGTAAACGATAAAAAGGTTCTGATAAACAAAAACACACTGTGTCTGTTTCACACTCCTGCTGCCAAACTGTGTGAACAACGTCGCCAACAACTGCAGCAACAACTGCAGCAACAACATTTTCACTAACATGGAGCAAACTACCAACAATGACAACAACCGTAATGTCAGCAGCAATGACAACAACCGTAATGTCAGCAGCAATGACAACAACCGTAATGTCAGCAGCAATGACAACAACCGTAATGTCAGCAGCAATGACAACAACCGTAATGTCAGCAACAACAGTAACAACCATAATATCAGCAACAGTGACAACTACCGTAATGTCAGCAACAACAATGACAACTACATACAGTAAAAACCAAAACACATCAACGACAGCAACTTCAATTCCAATGACCGGGACAACTTCACGTCAACAGTGGCAACAACGTCTGCAACAGTGTCTCTAAGATGGACGCATCAACAACAATGCCAGCAACAGTTCACGTCCTCTCTCAGAGGAGTGTCTCTCAGTGTGTCCCTCAGAGAACTTCTCCAGGTGTTCTTCACTGTGGGTTCAGACGTGTCTGTTCTGTCACTGCAGATGTTTACATGAGTGCAGCCTGACACAGAACCACAGCCTGGAGCTGCTCTGGAACCAGAACGTCTACTGAACATGAACTTCTCTTTGGTTGTTCCTCACGCAGAGTTTGGAAAAAAGAGACAGAAACGAGGAAGTTCTGGCCTGAAATTCTGCTTCTGACTCTCAGGAAACGACAAACAATGCTTCACTGTTCCCTCCCTCCGTGTGTGTGTATGTGTGTGTGTGTGTGTGTGTGTGCGCACTCTTAGTGGCAGGGATTAGGAAAAGGAGAAAGTAATCGAAATCCACGGGTTGAAAGCTTGGACCTGGTTTTTCCGTCTCACTGAGGACCTGATCCTGACCCAGATTCTGATCCTAAAACCCAGAGAAGCCTCCTGTCCCCGAGTCTCCAACCTTCAGCCCATGAAATGTTGTCTCCTCCTCTCATCCTTCCAGTGTCTGGAGCAGAAACTAGTCCTGAAAAGTTCCACGGTGTAACAACAGGCGCAGGTTTATCACAGTAGGGTTAGAAGGTCAGAAATCTGTCCAGAATCGAACAACCCAAATACACTGATCCAAACGGGTGGTTGATTTTCCTCGTCTGTTTGTTCAAGTAAGTCTGATTTAATGAAACAACAAAAATGTCCATTAATGATCTGTGTGTGTGTGTGTGTTGGTTTAACAACACTTTGTGCAAAGAAAAGAGTTGGAGGAGATGAAGAGGTTGAAACAACACACACACACACACACACGAGGCAAATCTCCGTCAAGTTCCATCATGTCTGTTGAGTCCAACCTTGCAGTCTTCAGTCAGTGTCTCAGTCAGTGTCTCAGTCAGTGTCTCAGACGGTCGGGCTGGAGGACGGGCTGACGTCCTGGAGGTCAGTGAGGTTCTGTCTGTCTGGGTTTGTTCGACTCCCTTCACTTTGGTTTTCTAGGCAGTTGTTTCTGCTGTGTTTTTGATTCATGCAGCGTCTGTGTGTTTGACAAGTGTGTGTGTTTTCAGCTCCAGAGTTTGGCTCTGAGCCCAGACACTTGTCACTGCCGGTGATTTATGTTAAACTTATCCATTTGACTTGACCTGCTTTGCTTTAATGAATGACTTCCAAATAAGGGAGAAAAAGAAGGAGGGAGAGATTGACTAGGATGTCACGCAGAGTTAAGATAAGAACTGTTTTACTGCACATTTCTAATCTGAAGATTAAACCATCACAGGAAGTCGGCCTGGCCCTGAGAGAACCTGGTACTGGAGCTAAAACACAAACGTGTTTCTGTGAAAAATGAAGCTTTGGAAACAAATCCTCAAATCTGTCCTGAAACCTGAAGAACGTCAAACTGTGCTGATTAACAAACCGATCCTGACCTGGACTTCTGAACGGGTTCTCCTCTTCCACATCTGAAAGACCCGTTTGTTTTTCCCTGAAACACAGTCATGTGGGAACCTGTCCTTCAGTTCCACAGGTGTCACTGAGATGTTTTCACTTTTCTAAAGAATCAGACAGAAGAAATACAGATTCTTCTAGATCCTGTCGCAGAGGTTTTTGTTGTTCTTCATCATGTTGGTCTCCTCCTCTTCTTCTTCTTCTTCTCCTCCTCCTTTTCCTCCTTGTTCTTCTTTTCCTTTTTTAATCGTCACTGTTGACTGTCTGTCTGTGTCTGTGTCTGTCTACTGTCGGGGCAGTTTAACACTTGTCTACAGGACAAAGCTGTAGACTGGGAAGACGGAGGGACGTGTCCGCAAGCGCAGTGGACAAATGTCTTCTGCACAGATGAGTCCTCGTGGTCTTCTGAGAGCGTTCCTGATGTGTCATCTTCTCATTGGTGGAAACGTCTGCACCAACATCTGTCTTCGGCTCGTCTGTGACGTCTCCCACCGGTCGGCTGCTTCATGACTGACCTCAGAGTGCACCACACTCACGTGCACGGCCACGTGCACGCAGCTCTAATGAGGTGAAACTGGAAGCCAAAGGCTTGCCGCTGTCTGGGTCGCAGCGTCACAGGGAGGAAGTGGAACAACAGCGATAGTGGACTGGACCCACAGAGGTCTGCAGTCGGCCAGGAGGGACACAGTCACCGAGGTCTCCATCAGGTTTGTGAGACTGCAGCACTGAAACATGTCTCTGACTGAGACTCAGAAAAAAAAGTGTTTCTGATCAAACTGGAAACATTATGTCAATGAATCCTGAACAACTGACGACAGATTCAAACAGTAACAAGAGCTGAGTGTGCACCAGTGTGTGTGTGTGTGTGTGAGTGAGAGTGTGTGTTTGTGTTTGTCAGATAGATTGGACCTGACATTTTTCAAATGTTCACACTAACAAACCAGGATCTGGTTCCAGAACTAAAACCTGGTCCCAGTCCCAGAGTTAGATCACGTCAGACCAGAACTTTCCATCCAATCAACCACTCACTGATGTACGTACGAACATGACACATTTCTCCACAAAACGTTCTGTTGTTTCTGCCTGTTTTTTTTGACCCAAGCTTTGGCAGTTAATATATGTGTGTGTTTGTTTGTTTGTTTGTGTGGTGACTGATCACCGTGTCTTTCTTTTCTTGTTGCTTTCCTCAGGAGGTGTGAGGAGAAGCAGAAAGTTTCCTCCTGGGACAGAAGTGAAAGTTCTCAGCCAGTTCATTTCTCTTCCTTCCAGCAACAGACGTTAAGAAAACACCAGGTCAGAGTCGCAGCCTCTTATCTCTGTGTCTGTGCTGTTTAATCTTTGATCAGAACAATTTGGATTGTTTTCAAGAACGAGGAAGTTCACCAAAGAATGAACAGAGCCGCTGCTCCCTGCTCTGCTCCCAAACCTTGTTCAACTTTTATTTAACCTGGACTGGAGCCAGAGCGCAGGTCAAACTCCTCACACGCCTCACACGCAAACACTGGGAGCGGTCACCTGCCCGCCTGCACGGCCACGCGCACGCCCAACACACAAACACGGGACAAACACGGGCAGGAGGCGAATGGCTCGTGTGCAGAAACGCAGAACTGAAAACAATGAGGAGGCAGCGGCGGAGGGCAGCGTGCACACTCACGTGCACGCCCCTCAGGTCACTGCCAGCTTTTCAGACACGCAAAGGAAATACCTGCTGATGCTAGACAGATGTTAGAGATACAGCGGAACCTTGGTCAGAGACCCTCCATCGGACCGCCGCCCCTTTCAGAGCCATGTTTCCAAACAAGCTGTCGACGTGCACGTTCACGTTCGTGTGTGAGACCTGACAGCGAGAACAGCGTGCGTGTGGAACCCTTTTAAGAACAATGCTTCTTTGAAGGGGCGTATTTTAAATATTTGCAGTTGGAGTTCAACAGTTTGTGATCCGGTGCTACAGCGGGTTTTCATTTTTAAGCTAACTCTCCAGAAACGGATGAGCGAGGATCAGCTCCTCCTACAGGCTGGACGGAACCAGAGCTGGAGAACTGACCTGGATCAGACTTCCAAGGGTCAGAGCCTGAAGAAAACAGAGGTGGACAAAGACAGATATCACATCACCGCAGGTCGTCACGACAGCGTCCAGATGTGATGACAGAACAGAGACGTTTCTACAGCCCACTCCCTGCTCCGTGGAGCTGATCCAGGTCCGTTTCACCAGCTGTTGAAACCAGAGCCTCAGGCTCTACATGACAGATGAACTGTTGGAGTGTAGAGATGAAGTGTTGGAGTGTTGTTTGAATCCAGGCAAAGTTCAACAACTGCACCGTCGTCACTATTTAAATATTCTCCAATATAATATTCTCAACACAGAGACTTCATGAGTTCACTTCTCTCAGCTCAGCTCAGCTCCATCACGACCTCGGCTCTTCATCTGCTGCAGCATCAGTGGTTAACTGGAGGTGTGGTTGTTCCTCACACCCAGCTGTGGGTGTGTGAGCAGCAGCAACAGGTCGGAGAAGTTTCTCCACTTCCTAACAATGTGTTTCCTCTCCATCTGAGCTCCACCATGTTTCCTTTCTGGAAATGGTTGATGTTTTCTGTGTGTCAGCTCCCTCCTCTGAGTGAAGATCAGGTTTCAGCTGTGGTATTTGCTGCAGTTACCTGAGGGCACAACTTCCTGCAGACAAACCCTGAGATGAGTGAGTGGATTTTTCTTTTCCTACTCAGTTCAAACTTGTCTCCTGCTCTAGACTTTAAAACCAGTCCTGACTCAGAGTCTGTGACCTCTGTCAGTGACACGACCAAAGGTCACCGAGGACGACGCCTCAGAATAAATGTTGAGTCCTCCTCTGATGTTGTTTCTACATGTTGGTTCATCCATAAAAGATTAAATGTTCATAACAGGGTTTTTTCTAATATAAAAAAATACGATTTAAAAACCTGTAAAAACAAATCGTCTCTGACGTCGGGGTTTGATGATAAATGTCTTTTTTCATAAACTGCTTGGCTAAAACTCCACACTTATTTCTTTTCTGGTGTGGGGATCGTTTTGATTTGTTTATTATAATATTCAAAGCTGAAAGATCTGGTTTGGATAAACCGCTGCGTTTCATTAGGTTTCAACTTCACACTCTGAGACAGAGTTCATTTAGTTTTGTTTTTAGAGTTAACTTTCAGATGTTGAAACTGAAAGGAATGTCCTTTCACAATAAAAACCTAAATCAAAACCTAAATCAAAAACCACAACCATTAATAAAATGTTTCACAACTGTATCGGATATTTAAATGAAATATACTCCAATAAAATGATATGACATAGTCCCTTCACAACACTTTTATTTAAACATTAATCTTCGTGATACGTGGAAACATGGAGTTCCGAGTGCTCAACCCAGCTCCATTTTTTCCACTCCACTCTGTCTCGCTCACTGTCCCTCACTGGGTTATTTTTAAGTGACTTTAAAAATCTTCAGGTACATATGAATGTGACTGATGACTCATCAGAACAGAACAGATGACACTGAGAGGGTGATGATGATGATGATGATGATGATGATGGTGGTGATGAAGAGACCAGTAATGACTCTGCTCAGATGGGTGTTTACAGAGGACCAGCCTCCAGTCCTCATACCAGCTAATAACGGTGTCCTGGTTTTAACCTGGATGACTAACTGGTTTGAACTGGTATGACTGGTTGTTGGACTAGTTAACTGGTGTCTTTGTAGCTGCTCTGGCTGGTCGTCAGTCTGGTTTCAGGACTGGTTGACTTGGATTTAAGACTCAGAGGTTGGTTTAAAGTTCTCCTGGACTTTTAGCCCAAATTGAAGTGGATTTAATCTGGTAACTTGTTAAACTGTGGGGACTAGAGAAAATCCACCTTAAAGAACCTTAACATTTACATTGGGAGACCAGACCAGAGCAGAGCAGAGCAGAGCAGAGCAGCTCAGCCTTTTCTCTGTTTCTGCCTGATGTACACCAGTGTACACGGTTCAATTCTGACTGAAACTCTTCCTTTTTCTTCCTGGTCTTGTTGTGTGCAGTTTAGTTGACATTTTTTGAGCAGGTGGGGATGAGATCCTGTGACTGCTTTTACGTCAGCTGGATTCTGTGGTCACTTAAAGACTTTGTTCCAAATCCAAATTTCTTTTCACTTTTTAAAAGCTTTGCAAAGATTGAGCCTGGAGCAGAAAGACGGAGACAAAGGCAGTGGGAATGAAAGCAGCTGAGATGATGTCAGACACTGGAGGAGTCAGTGTGTCCTGGAGCTGGAGGTGTGTTCTCTCTCTCTCTCACACACACACACACACACACACCTCAGCTCTTCTCATCAACTTCACTGCCAGTAATTCAGGGAAGGAAAATAAACATGTTTTTTTTTTTCCATCTGACAGGGCGTCGACACCAGGGCATTTTATTAAACCAATGACACTGTCATTTAGTTCTATTCTATTCTAGAGTTGCACAGGTTAAAGTGGACCACACACACCAATTCCACACCAATTCTTACAAGCGCACACAGAAAGGAACACACACATATATGTCAGGACAATTGTTTTCAATGTGAAGCAGACCACACACACACACAAACACAGCTGAGTCACACACTCCTGACCCCAAACAATAAACTGAAGCAGCTGAAAGTCTGACCACTGGAATGTCAGTCACGGCAGCACACACACACAGGAGAGCAGCAAGTGTGTCCCATTATCTCCGTGATGGTCACCTGCTGATCTCAGCTGTGCAGTCAGACGTGGACCAACCTCAGGCTCTCACCTCAGTGGAGGACAGAGAAGAACCACGTGAAATAACTGACGGAGGTCACACAAACAACAGGCGGGGGGTTTCCCTTGTGTAGAACTATCTGTGTGAGTGTGTGTGTGTGTGTGTGTGTGTGTGTGGTCAGCCACATTCCTTATTAACACACACTCTTTGTTTTACACACTCTTTTGTTTCTCAGTCGTGAAGCTGCTTCTCAAAGAGCTGCTCTGTGTGCAGCTTATAAATAACTGAACTACTTTTGTGGCAGAGAGAGAGAGAGAGAGGGAGAGAGAGAGGGGCAGGGAATCCCCTGTCTGACACACACACACACACACACACACACACATATTCAGCTCTTTCATTTCCACTCATCTCTAAAGTCTTCCTCCTGGGAGGAAATGTTTTAGCAGAAAATGAATATGAAGCTAGAGGTGAATGCTATTATTATTATTATTATTTAAAACCAACAGTACTGTTGTACTGTACTACAGTGTTTGTTTGTAAATCCTGGTTATTGTTTTAAAACCTGCTGTTAATTAATAACAAGTACAAACAGAAACAAATCAAATCTGGACTCTGGAATATCTCCACATTTTTCCCGTACGCTGTGTCTTTAACCTTGGCTTCAGTTAAAGATTGACGTTTATGACACAAGGCAATGGCAGGTCAAAGGTCAAACAATATTTTGCGAAGTACAGTAATGACAGATCTTTTCCTTTCAGCTACCAACTTTCTTTAGACCTCAGAAAATCTGATTTCAGTTTTGAACTGCTGAGATTTAACTTTAAGGTTTCTGTCTTTGTTTCCTCTCTGTTAAAGCTTGGATAAAAACATTTTCACCAGCAGATAATTATCCTGATGAGGGATCAGTGTTTACATCACAGAAAAAAACTGCTGATTTTTTTTTTCCACTGCATATTCCTACTGTTACAGCAGGGTTTGTAGAGCAAACATGGCTGACGCTCCAGTTTGGTTTTATTCGGAACAACACTTCACCTTTGGGGAGCTCTGACAGAGGTTTTCAGGCTCCATCCCTGATCCCTCCTTCATTTTCTTTCTCTCCAGTTACAGTACAAATGAACATCTCACTGAACATCCACGTCATTCACATATTAACAGCTTCTTCCCTGCTGCTTTGTCAAACAACAAGCCTTTATTTTTCTATTCTTTTATTTCTCCCTGAACATCTCACCTCTTGCCATTTCATCAAGAGCAAACCTGGGACGTGGCTGCGATTTCGGAATCTGATCTGATCTCCCCAAGTCCACAGAGAAAGACAATAATTTTGGACCAAGGACTTTTCATGACCAAAGAATCTTAATCTGATTTTCTCTATGTATACTTTGGGCTCTCGGTCAAAATCTGTGATTTCTTCAGTGGACTTTGGTCTGTGAGCTAAAATCACTGACTTTCTCTGTGGACTTTGGTCTGTGAGCTAAAATCACTGGTGTCTGTCCTATAAAAATTTTGTTGCACTGTCCCTTTAAACTCCAGGGCTTCATTGGGGTCAGTCATCTGTGGCAGATGATGAAAAAGACATCGATGTTCAAACCGAACAATCCTTCATCTTGATTGGACTGATGAGAAACAGTTGCTCTTCCTTTGTTTTTCTCTTCTTTTCATCACTAATCAGTCTAATGACTGCTGCTGATGACAACTCTGGCTTCACCTGTCAACACACACTTTGTCTGCTGCTGCTGCTGCTGCTGCAGCTGTGGAGTCTGGTCAAAGCACCATCATCATCACCATCATCATCATCATCACCATCATCTGCATCACTTCTCTGAGTGGTTTATACACAAAAAATAGTTTCAACATCAGAGGTCGAGATTCAAACTCAGAACAAAAGAACAATCAGAGATAAGAGTGTTTACGTGTGTGTTTATGTGTAATAGTGTGTGAGCTGAAGTGTGTATTTCACTTCGTGTTCGTGTTTGTGTGTGTGTGTGTTCACGCGCTGCCTTCACAAACATCTGTGAACAAGTTGAAGATCAACACGTTGTCACCGCGCACGGCCTGACGCAAATGGTTCCAACATGTTCCTTCGACAGCAGAGAAGTTCAACACGGTGTTTATAGAACCCACAAACTCAGAACCAGAACCAATGACAAGAGAGACTTCGGCTCCGGAACCGCAGAACTCTCGGTTCTAGGTCACACCACATGTCAGTGACTGTGGTCCGAGCGGAGGTTCTGATTTAAACTGCTGTCACAGCAGGAGAACCCTGAGTGAAGGAGAACCCTGAGTGAAGGAGAACCAGAACCCTGAGTGAACCCTGAGTGAAGGAGAACCCTGAGTGAAGGAGAACCCTGAGTGAAGGAGAACCCTGAGTGAAGGAGAACCCTGACCCCGGGCTTGGATCCCGGGTTCGAACAGTTCACCTCAACCCCTGAGTCAATTAAAGCGTCAAATGTGATCAGCAGAACCAAACCGTACCAGGTCACAGAGATAGCCCAGAACACCAGCCCAGGACTGACCAACCAGAACCACTCGGACCAGGTCTCGGTCCTGGACCGGGCTCCAGAACCACAGTCCACTCTGTTAATAATTGACTTTTACGCACAAACAACGACACCTCAGCCGCTAAACCTGTTTTTCTGTGCAACAGAAACTTCCAACTCTCAATGGCTCACGCGCACGTGCACACGCACTCTTACCTCTGATATGGACATGTTCAGGTAGACAAAGAGTCCAGTGGTGGAGGCGATCTGCAGCACCACCACCACGATCACCACCATGGCCACCCACAGTCTGGACGGCGCCTCTTTCCGGGCCGACTCTCTGGTTCCGGAGGTGGGGACCATCATGTAGGTGGTGGACTCGCTGCTCACAGACCTGAAATAATCCTGGTGCTGTTGCTGCTGCTGCTGCTGCTGCTGCTGTGCGCTCAGGCTGGCCATGGCTTTCCCGACGCATCAGGAACAAGTAAGAACTCGAGCAGCAGCAACAGGCAGCCTGAGAGTGAGGCGGAAAAATGAAGAAAAAAAAAGGGGAGAGAAAAGTTTTCAAAGCCTGTGATCAGAGCTTCATGGTCCAACGGAGGAGGGCGAAGAGCCAGGAGGAGCAGGAGGAGCAGGAGTAGGAGTCAGGGTTTGAACGAGTCCATGTCTGAAGAAGAAGAAGGTTTACTGGAGAAGTGAACTGAGGGGGAAGGAGGAGGAAGGAGGAGGAGGAGGAGGAGGAGGAGGAGAAAGAATCGGGAGGGAGGTCTAAGTCTCTCTCTCTCTCTCTCTCTCTCTCTCTGATGTCATGCCCTACCAATGCAAAAAACACACGCACACACAGATGGGTGGGTGGACTGATTATTTAATGAAATATTTATTACAAGTATTAAGTAGAATAATCCTTCACTAGAGGTGTATGGTGGTGCGCTCATCTTCTTCTGTGTTACTAGGAAACAGTAGGTGGGAGTACTCAAAGTTTCATAACGAAGAGGAACAAAAAATCTACATCAACAATTACAACAAAAAAGAAGAAGAAGAAGATGATGATGATGATGATGATGAGGAGGAGGAGGAGGAGGAGGAGGATTAGAGGGCGTGTGTGCTTGGATTAAAAACACACCTGTTGTGTATTTCCAGTCTGGACCTGTGTCACAGGCAGCTGTTGGACAGTTGTGTCTCCATGAAAACCACAGGATGATTCTCTTCTGGTCCACTTTCTCTCCAATGCCAAGGTCCATAGAGAAAACCAGTGATTTTTCATCACAGACACATGAACGTGGACGGTCGGCCAGCTTCCTGTAGGATTTAGCAGAGGGATCCAGGAGACTTTTTGTCACGCGGACCTGATGCACATGAGGACAGAGGCGGTCCAGCCAACAGTTTTCCAGGTCTGACCTCAGTGGGAGTTTCTGGATCAATGGTTTTAGACACAAACCTAGTCATCGCGGGCTGCCTCACAGCAGGACCACAGGTGTGAACGTGACCCTGTGATGGACTGGACAACTGTCCAGGGTGTCACCCCACCCTCACCTGATGGCTGCTGGGTTTGGTCCTAGCCCCTCCCCCTCCCCCCTCCCTCCACCTCACTTCCACCATCACCCTGAGAATTGAGTGTCTGACGAAGAACACATGAATCATTGAATGAATTAAGTGATGAATTAATACATGGATTCATTCATTGATTATTTGATGAGTGAGTGACTAAATGAGAGTGAATAAAGAAATGAATGAATTTATTAATTAAAGAAAAAGTGAATGACACGACTGAACAAATAATGATTGCATTTTTTAAATTCAAACTCTGTCATGAATTTCTAACGCCACATGTTTTTACTTCAAAGTCAGACGCATTCTTTCGAACACTTAATTCTCGTGGTCGTGGATCACATGTTTTACATGTCCGGGTGTTTTTGGTGGGAGTTTCCCAGCATGCTTTGTGGTGACTCTTCGCTGTCAGTCCTGGCTCAGTTGTTTCCCCTGTTGACATCATGACTGCACGCAACAGTTAATCACAGAAAAAATGTCATGTCCAGTGGTAAACATGTTTGGTCTTCATTTGAAATAACTCCAAGATCTGGAGTTTTCTCTCTGACTCAGCTTCTTCTCATAAATCTGTCGCTGAAGGACAGATGGAGTTTAGGTTTCTGTTTATTATATATATGTGCATGTGTGTGTGTGTCTGATACATATCTATACACATATATATGGTAATATATGTACGTTATATGTATATAGACAAATGGAAATGCCCTTTGTTTCTAAACCTCTCTCACAAACTCCACACTGCAGAAAACCAGCTTCTAGACAGGCGTGGGCAAACGCTTTTTGATTTGTGAAAATGCCCTTTGTTTCTAAACCTCTGTTTGTGGGGGGGGGGTCAGGAGCAAATAGACCGAGTGTTCTTGTCAACTAAGATAAATGACATGTAAAAGTCATGCATAAAGGCTAAAATGCTTTTAGCATTTTCTACACCATCTATTGTGGAAACGTGGGTATTGCAGGGAAAAGGCAGAAGTATAATGATAATATAAATAATTTATATCATTTGGAAAAGTTTGGTGGGCCGGATTAAAAAGCTGAATGGGCCACATCCGGCCCCTGGGCCTCAGTTTGCCCATGCATGTCACAGACCCAGCCACTGCTCCTTAGACTCCCGGTGAAACCTAATTCCAATTTATCCAGTTAGCAAGAAGCTGAGCTTCAACAGGGTTTAATACACCTTACTGCTACAGGAAGGTGTGAGAAGAAAATCTGATTTTTTTTCTAAGAATAAATCAAATTAAACTGGTTTAGCTGAAATTTTAAATTTCATGATTTTAAATCATTTTAAAGTGGACTATGGAACTGAGGCCCCCAGATTTATTTAGTTTTATTTTTCAGAATTCAAGTCAAACTTTTTCTTTGCTCTCTGAATTTTTTTTTTTTTACATAAATGCAGGTCTTTGCTGCAGGTGGGCTACAAAGCAACTGTTCCAATGTCTTTCAATCAACCACAGTTTCAGTCGCACCACAGCAGATGTTAAACACATTTGTTCCAGTGACTGGGATTTGACACGCTCGCGCTGTCAGTTCAAATCTCAGAAGCCGTATTTTGGCTCGCAGGTGGAACAAGGACCAGACCTCAACAGCACAAAAAAACCTTCATGGAGCCTGTTCAGAGATTTATTTTCTTAATGCAGCCTTTCTGTCTGAGAGAAAGAAACCAGGTTGTAAACCAGTGGCTGTCACAGACCAAAGTCCACAGAGAAAATCA